TTGTTGGGATAGGTTAGGCCACGAAGTATACACCCGACCCATCCTTCAAATCTGGGGAAATGAAGGGCGCATTTGTCGGCCGCATTTGTTGGAGTCTTCGAATTTGGACAGTCTTCGTTGTGTCGTTGTAACGTAATCAGCCTACAAATGCGGGCACAGGAGGATGCGGTTTCTGAATTTGGACACAGCTACGATACCGGACACTGCTTCTTCTTCTTCAAGGTTTAATAGCAGCTGGCATCCTTGTACATGCAGTGCTGCCATCTTCTGTTTCAGGCCATTGTTACACTCTTAAATCCTACTACTTATTCCTGCGTCTTTCGGGATCTTACAAAGTTTCAAATGACGCGTCAACTATTAAATTAGTTGTCGATGATTTTAATAGTCGATGTAATCGTGACTAGTCGACTAATCATGGCAGCCCTACTCAGCAAAGAACTAACTTTATCACTGTCAGGTTATTGTCATGTGATGTGACTCAGATCAATATTTGAAACACAGCAAAACTATCAGTAGTATTTATCTATTTACAGTTTAAGGCTTTGTCACGGATGCTCCTTTTAGAACCTGTTCTAAAACACTGGCACTATCATATTGATGGAGCTGAAGCTGAAAGCATTGATCTCAGTGGCTACTGGAGAAGTCACTGCAAGAAATATAGGCAGAGCAAACTACAGGTATCTTACCACCTTAGTTTTCTTACAATAGTAGATGACCCAATGTCTGCAAGCAGAGCTACCCAATAACTAGCTCTTAAAACGCTCAAATTGAGTCTAGAGGTCTAATGGGAACCAAGGCAGAACTGGCTACACACCAGCACTATGTTGGTGGAAAAGAGGTAGTAGTGGATAATGTTAGTGCAAGAACTGGAAATCAGCCTGGTAGCAACAGCCAACACAGAATGGTTCCTTATTTTTGGTTTTGGTTCTTGTTTTGCAGAACTCGTGAGCAGCACTCCATCCTTCTGAATCCCATGCATGTCGGTCTAGCATAGACACTTTTTTCCCCTGACAGGTGTACTTTGCAAAACAATGATATCCATCTCACTGTACGGCTATGTTGCGTGCACAATGTTGCTGCACTGTTTTTAGACAGATATAATTAACTAGCTGCACTGATTCTGAAACCTGCATAGTGTTTATCTGTGATCAGTTCTACTGCTCTGCAAAAAAGGCAACCTTCCATATATGTATGTTGCTTGTTTACAGCAGAGGTATATTTTTCAGAGATTCTGGCAAAGTACTTTTTCAGATAATTGACCCAGTATCTCTTCGTTATTACAAGACCTTATGAAAAAAAATTGAAAACATTATTCTTGTGCACCATGCACCTTATCTAGCGGTCTAGAAGAAAAACATTCCCGCATGATTCGTCACTGCACATACAACTACGCTAACATAAAAAGGGCTGTGATGTATCATTAACTGGTTAAAAATCCATGCACATTGAAACTATTGTTGTTCTGCTCACGAATTCTGCTTTTGGTGCAGCAGTGAAGTCTGTAGAGACGGTGTCAATCAGCAAGGACCACTTTTGAAACCATTTAAGCAAATTATATACTCTACGACGACAAATCTACTTGTTTTTAATATTCACCATTCAATGAACAGAGCATCGTGCAAAGAATTAGTCACACCACATTTTAAAATGGTAGGATGCGGAAAGAATATAAGAAGAATTAGGTAAAGCGCACTCATTTTGGAAGACACAACTGTATTTAATGGGATACAATCTAAAACACCATCGCCAAGAAAGACTCAACAACCAGACGTTGTAAGTTTAACGTTATGATGTTGAACGGTCAGGTTGTCCAGCTATCCAGCAGAGTATGAAGGACAGCAACACCACAAATGTGCAAAGAATGAGTGTAATGGCTCGGCCCTAATCTGAAAGTAGACCCTGACAAAACAACGTCCCAAGAAACCGCTTCAACAAGAAACCCAGAAGCCACATGTTGAAGACACATCCAGCACAGGCAGCTCACCTGTAGTAACATTGACTGAATGAGCAGGGTTGATGTGTTTGCAACACACACCGTGAAATCAACTGTAAACCCTTCTTTGCACTTTAATCGTGCACCTTTGTTCTAAAACACTGAACGCCACCGTCGTTGTATCTTTTAAGCGAATGGTGGTTAGCCTAGCCACCGCTGATAGTTAGCCAGTCACCTAGCAAACCTTTGCTAGGTATTTTCTCCCTATCCCCGCCATCTTGCGCCAAGTTGAGCAGCCATTATTTTTGCAAGCTTACATTAATACCTAACATTGTGTTTTTCATTCTTAGTGTTCTCCAGGTTATGCCGTAATAGCTAAAAGTGAGAGCAGGAAGGGGGTAGGGGCGGGTAACCACTGGACAGTTAGCTGCTACATGCTAACAGAGTGAGCTGACGCACAAACCAAACTCTACCTGCCGTTACTGAGGAGGGGACGGACGACATAGTGCGACACTGATATTTCTGTTAACGCCTCTCGGTAAAAGTCAAAAAAGTCGGCGTTTACCGTATTATTAGGCTCGCTGTAATGCTTTTAGATACGAAACACCAAGTTGGCTTGGTAGCAAAGTATTAAATTTGTTAGTCCTACAGTTTACAACGTGTGCATGACTATCTAGCAATACTTAACTAGTAATAACCACTGTAATACGTTTTTTCACCGATACACGTGCCTTCCACTTATTGTGAGTTTTGTTAAAAGCAATATTTTTGCTACGCCAAGTATGTTTTCAACACTCCATAAAACGCTATGTACATGGTACCTACTCTCAACTACCGATGACACCACCGATTTGAGCAGGGTGGAGATTCCCATCTCCCTGCAATCGTACTGTAGCCCTGTCGGCTAGTTTGGGCATGTTTAATACTAAACATAGTAATAAACATAGCAGAAATACACTCGAGTTGGCTCGCTGTGTACCTGGCACTGTACGTGTTGTCTTGCGAATGCAATGATGTAAAACTGAGGGCTGGTTTGTACATTCAGCCCGCAGGTTCAGCTTCAAAGTTGGGGAAATTATGGTTTGTGTATGTCGCTGCTAGCCTTATACCAAGAGTGGCGTTGGGAGGTCTGTACCACGTATTTCATATGGGATATGCACTCGTCTGTGGAGATAACGGAGAGCGGCAACTGTGATCCTATTCTGTGGCATACCTTTAACAGCAAGGCCTTCGTTCTGGCGCCATCTTCTTGAAGCCTATGAAATCCAAACAGTGAACTGCAAGTAGAGGACAGACAACACAGGCGGTTCCGTATTACTTGGAGGGGAGGGGGGGGCAATTGTTGTTTCCAACTGCGCGAAGAAAATTTATTAATTGCAAAAAAACTAAGCGAATTAAACTATTCACACAATAGAGCGTCTAACCTGTCAATTCCGACCAAGCTCTCTTTCTCTTGCGCTGTTAGCTTCGGAAAGTCCTCTTCGATTTCAGTCGCTTTTCCCGACGCCATTTTCTCCTCGTCATTACCAGCAACGCCGAGACTCCGGGCAGCAGCAGAGGCAGCGGCGGTGAGCGACACTCCGCACGATTTCATGGAAAAGAACTGGGAAAATCAACGGCACCGAGCAACTCCGCCAAAATGCAGTCACAACGAAAGTGTTGCACACCTATCCAGGATTAAAACGGGGCGTAGTGTAATTCTTGCCAAATCCTCAAGGAAATGATCCCTTCAAGTTATCTTCCACACTCCTCATTGTACATCAAACTCAACGTGTATTCCAGTGCCAATTTATGCATGAAGTTGATGTAATGTTGGGTTGTAGGACTGAGTGTTATTTTATAATATCGCAAACTTCCCCAACCATCGGCTCAAAGTTGTTGTAATTGTGTCACACAGGCAAACGCATGCCGCCACCTTCGACACGCCCTCTGCTCATTGTGCCCAATCAGCACGCGGCATCCGCGGTCACGTGGTGGTCTCCTGTTGACGTGTTGCGAACACGCGAACGAACACGCGCACGCACACATCAAATCTGTTTCCAAGTCCCGCCTCACGTCCTGCGATTGGTTCTTCAGGCTATATTATGATTACGTAACTGTTTTTGTAGGTAACGTATTGGTTAAAATAACTGTCATATGTGCCAAGGGTATTTGTTGCAACGTCGCACATGTACTTTTTGACTGATAGATAGATAGATAGATAGATAGATAGATAGATAGATAGATAGATAGATAGATAGCTCAAGAAACTGGGAACTCATTTTCCTCCAAATAACACAAATAAACATGAATTTAAAAAAATGAACGACTGAAGAAACTGTGAAATGAACCATAGAAAGTAAACTAAAGTGAAACAGTCCAGAAAACTATAACTATTCCCTTTTTGAAGTTTTGTGCCGTGTTATTTATCTGTTTTTTAAGCTTCAGGAGGACGTCAGTTAGCGAATGAACACAATGCCTTGGTGTTCCAAAAAAAGATATAAACAAATCCCATAAAAAATAAAAAGCTACATAAAACTTAGTAATAACATTTTAATATATTTACTATCGATTCTTTCTTTTGTTTGTCTGTTTTGTCTTTTTCTACCACTAGGCACACCGGGTTATTACGAAACTCATTCATGGAGAATTCACGGCAGAATTTCTTCTGCTAACTTAATAGTGCAAAAATAACCTAAATAAATGAAACCTGTTATTGTCAGGAATTAGTCAGGAATTGTTTTCCTAATATCAGTTAGGAAAATAGGGGGCTAACCATCTCCACTTGGAATGCACTCATTTAGAGTTATTCTTAAAAAACAAAATAGTCACAACCAACACACCTTTAGCTGCCCATACCTGTGTCCTAACAACCTTCAGTGCACTGAGTGTATTGGAGGTCACGCGAAACCTGGATGGAGTTGCGAGATTGGCAAAATCTCCAAATGTTTCATAAGAAACAAAAACATGTATTATTATTATTATTATTATTATTATTATTATTACTACTACTACTACACAACGTATAACATTGCAGTATATGTAGGCCTGCCCATGTCTCAGTTTCTTTTTCACTGTCAAATTTATGCAAATGACGCCGGACGTGAAAGCAGCTGAGGACAGACCAGTGCACTCCAAAATGGCGAATAGCAAGGGTAAGGAGGCCTGCAAAGTTATTGCATGTTATTCGGATCCAGGACGGTCTCGACACCGTGGGTGCATTTAGTAACGTTCGCGTTGCTGCTAAGAAGCCTTGAAGACGTTTTCCCGTTTCCTCTGTAGCGTTGACTGTGTCCTGGGCCGCACCATTTACAGCTAACATTAACTTTTCACCTGTTAGCTTTAGTTATGTAGTCATGCTAAGTTATTGTTAGGCCCATGAATTTTAGTAAGTTGTAATGGAGCCCGTAATGAAACTATTGGTATCTGCCTCTGTCATGATAAATCTTAAGTAAAAAAGCAGGAAACTACTAAAATTGATCGTTGAGTTATGGATAATAGCGTCCAGAATCGTATGTTGATTTTGTAGCATTAATATAACTGTGCTTGTAAGGCTTCTCGCCGCTGCATTCATTGTTATTTCATGCTAGCTGTCTTTTATTTTTTCTTGTATGTACACAAGTGGAAGATGAGATTTACGACAAGGTCGTGGATCTGACAGAATACGCTAAACGTCAGCGATGGTGGAACCGCCTTTTCGGAAAGAATTCCGGCCCCATAGCTGAAAAATACTCTGTGGCCACACAGATTGCAATAGGTGGAGTGAGTGGATGGTAAATATTCTCATTAAAATTATGCTGCCTTTAGCGTAGTAAATATGAATGGCTGAGAAACACCCCAACGCAAAATGAGAAAATCTCAAGATTTAGATGGTTATAAATTGCTCTGTGTCTCATCTTGTTTACAGTATATCTTCTGTTGGCTAATTGGACACGGATGTCTTTATTTCTGTACTGCGCAAAAATCTCTAGCCACCCCACATTCCCCTTTCCTAGGAAAATATGAAATGTGTGCAGACAGTATTTGAAACATGCAAACATATATACAGTATATAAGAAAAACAGAGTTTATACAATACTCATGACCTTTTAAGTGATCATGGTCATGAGTATTCTTCAACAGCCCGAAGTCTCCTCAGAAAGCTTTCGTCTAATTCCTTTAAGCACTCTTCAAAGATAGTTCTTCAAAGTTCTCCTTTGAATGCTGTTTGTTCCATTCTTTGTCATGATGATCTCCCACTGCTTCAGTAATGTTGAGGTCCAGGCTTTGCACAATCAGTGGCTGACAGCGTTCCACTGTGTTTTTTTTTGTTGTTGTTTTGTTTTGTTTGGGGTTTTTTTTGGGGGGGGGGGGGGGGGGGGTTATCCAGGTATGCCTTTAGCAGCGTGTATGGCAGCAGTTTCATTCTTTAGTTTCAGTTTCCAAATCAGACACTTTAGAGATGACATTGGGTGGTGGATCAAAGATCATTTTCTGTGTTCATGAATTTATTACTTTTGACAAGTTATTTACAACCCAGTTCTTGTGTCATTTGGCATACCTCAGAACTTGGAAAGGAACGTCCAAAGAAAAACATTAAAAGAGCATCAGAAGGGCTGGAGAGCTACTGCTCAAGGCCGCTTTAAAAAATGACCAGGAGGCCTGGCTCTTTGGAAGTAAAATATAAGGAAATGAGGAGTAGCTCAAAATGTTTTGTACAGTATTGTATTACATATAGTGCATGCTCATCGTGCTGTTCACGTGTTACTGTAGCAGAGAGACAAAATTGTATTTTGCCATCACTTAAGAAAACAAATTTCACACTCCCAACTTTATAACTCTGCAGTTAAGGTATCTTGCAAACAGTGTCTTAGTTACACTTTATCAGTGGAACCTTTCACATCATGCAAACCTTATGACAGTGAATGGCCACCTTACAATGGTCATTGTTAGGCTAACTTGTGTCATTATTATTGTTAGATCAGCTACTATGCTCTCTTTTCAATTTGCCTTAGGTGTGCAGGTTACCTCTTCCAGAAGGTTGGAAAAGTTGCTGCTACCGCAGTGGGGGGAGGTCTTCTGCTTTTACAGGTATTATTGCATCGCCCTGCATAAATATGTGCAGGTTAAGCTTTTCAACACATTGACATTGTTTTCATGAATCTGTCTTTCTTCAGGTAGCTAACAACAGTGGCTATATCCAAGTGGACTGGAAGCGAGTAGAGAAGGATGTCAACAAAGCTAAGAAGCAGTTAAAGAAGGGAACAGATCAGGCAGTCCCTGAGCTCAACACATTTGTTGAGAAGGTAATTTTGTTGAGAGTTGTCTGGTTGACTGTGAGATCATTTTCACCCTCCCATTACAACGAAAAGTGACTGTGTCATATGAAATATGGTTTGTGTCTTTCAGTCCAGAGAGTTTGTGAAGAAAAACATTGTCGTCACAAGTGGCTTCATCGGAGGATTCCTGCTCGGCCTGGCATCTTAGGACCTACCGAATGAGAAGAGTTATTGGGGTTTTTTTGTGTTATGTTTCTGATGTTATAAAAAGCTATAGGGGATAATTATAAGTCTTTGCTGAAAAGTTCTCAAGTGTTTTAACAGCAAGTGACCAACAGATACCAGTTTAGCTTGGAGCTCTGTGTTTTTACTTAAGCTGCATTGCAAACCCCTCTGTTTATAACACCATACTTGTTGATATAGACATGGGACTTATTTATTAGCCCAGAATGGCCATCTTGAAACACTCCAGTTTTAACGCCAAATAATAATACATATCATGTAAATTAAATCAAAAAAGGAAACCCAGCAGAATGTTTCTGTTATTATGTATTTATTAAAAAAACGGGACAGTATTCCAGAAGGAAAGATTTCCCATTGTGGTTGTGCACAGTTGGGGCAAATAGATTTCAGTTCACCTACACCTGGCAGGGGATGCATGTCTTTAGGGTATTCCATCAGTGCCACTGTTAATTTTTATATTTTGGTTTAACACATTATAATCAATCATCTTCAAAGTAAAAACTGGGTTACACCAGTCTTTGCGGTCTCTGTTTTTTATGGTCTATTATGTTTAGCATCGCTTTGGGTACTGAAGGCTGTGGTCTGACTATTATGTAAGTAAATAAAAATAAAGAAATATGTTTAATTGTGTCTAATTCAATTTACAGTGCAGTTTATTTAACTGTACAGATGAAGAAACCTAGTCTCGGATGCCTTTGAAGTCTGTTAGTATACATTCATCCATGCTTTGGTTTACTTTCACTTGGATTTTGTAAAATGTTTTAGTTTGCACTTATAATTAGAAACAAAAATGAGCTGCTACTCTGGCCATTTATTTTTGTATGCCCTACAAGCATAATAGTTTACAGTTTACAAGGAAACAGGATGTGTTATAATGTATTCTTGAGTCCAAGTTAAATTTTTGCAGGATGTGTGTGGCATACATTAAATTATAATTTCTTAGGTAGACACAGAGGGCTTTTAGATGGCGTAAAAGTTCAAGCAAGAATTATTTCCAAATCATCAGAATGTACAGTAAACTCTAAACAGCAAGGTATTATTTACAGGGATAATTACTTAATTACCTTAGTAGTGGTGGTTATATTATGCCAACTCTGATACTATTTGTAAACTTTAATATATAAATAGTACATAAGTACACAGTTTACGCTCTGTTGCACTTTTTAACTTGTAGGAAAAATAATGTGTTTATAAATTCTTTTTTATTTAATTGGCTATGTTAGCATCAAAATATACGATGAACAGCAATAATTTGAATATTGTTATGAAAATAAAAATATTTCATTGGTTCTTTTTGTTGCTAAGAGACGTGTCCCCAAAAGACGTTTCCATGGTAACAGACCAATAACAGACCGTTGGAACTTCAGGGCCGCTGAGTTTTATGGAGAAAGTAATCCAACAGTTATAAGTATTACCACCATGGCTTTACCGTTTCTGCCAGGGAACTCTCCCAATGAAAGAGTAAGTTTACGACACTTCGTATGTTTCTCGCAAATTACCGAGTTTCGTTAGCAGGCGACTTCCTTAGCTAGAAACTAACCCCAGGTCGCCTGTTAGCTAGAGAGCGCTTAAGCTCAGATAAAAGTGGTTGTACGAGTGGGTGAGTGATGTATGCTGTTTAGAAAGCGCTTTGAGTACTCAGGCATATAAGAACCAGTCTATTTAACATGTTTTTAATAGAAAGTGCTCAGATATACTTTCTCCTTTCTGTACCACAGCTGGGGAAGGAGAGATTCCACAAATCCCAACATTTTAACTATTCCAGTGGAGTCCCTATGCTGGTTGGGTCTGAGAAGCCAGGCATTGGAGGAGAACATTTAGTTGGTCAGGAGATTAAACCAAAGTACTCCGTCTATCCCATAGGAAGTGGTACCGGTTTACCACCATGGGTAACCTTTGACAAACAGGTGAATAATAGAAACTGATTTTAATTCTCCACTCAGACAGACATGGTATAGCTTTATGTTATTTTTTTTCATGTCTGTTATTAAGGTTTAAAGCTTCCAATATCTTGTGTTACTCATTCAAGTAAAAAAAAAATTAAAGCCTGGTATTTTTTAAAGCCTGTAATCATTTCGCATTTGTCATTTGAGTAATTTTAGCCACAAAATATCATTTTGTTCTTCTAGGTTCTGTGTTTTGATGCATACTTCCAGGAGACTGTACCTGAGGCTCAGTCTGAGACGTACAGAATCAGAAAGTGTAAGATCTACTTCTTCCTGGAAGACGATACCATACAGGTTGTGGAGCCGGAGTACAAGAACAGTGGCATTCCCCAAGGTGTCTGTGATATAACAGGAAATATCTTGAGAATATTGCTTAAATTCAATTACAGCCTCAATAAATAAATAAACAATGAGACACTATGCAAAATATAAATGGAAACAGAATAAAATGAGTTGCAAATCTGATAAACTCACATTTTACTCATGATAAAAACTTGTAACATTTTTAAGAAAAAAATAAGGTCACTTTTGAATTTGATGGGAGGAAGATGAAGAAGAAGAAATTCAAATATTGCATTTTAATTCGTCTGACTACAGATGCAGTCTACTTTGCCTCTCTAAATTTTAAATGAGTGTTTGCTCAGAGAAGATGGTGGCGTTGTTCACATACAGCTTCTTCTCTGCATGATTGAGCTTTAACCGTTTCTGCCAACCATTTGTGGAAAGTGAACAGTGATTTCTGGAAGTGTTCCTGAGCTGATGCAGTGATTTCCATGATAAAACCATGTCTGTATTAGATGCCTTCGGGGTGGCGATGATCATGGGCATCCAGCATTGATTTTCAGCTTTGTCTCTTGCAAAAAGACATTTCTCCAGACAAATATGGGTTTATGAGTTTGTCAGTGATTGCATTCTGTTTTAATTTACATTCTATACAGCATCACAACTCTTTTGGGATTGGGTTTGGATTTTTGTTAATCTTCTGCTTTTTCCCAAGTGGCCCAAAAATCTGCAATATGATGAGAGTTTCCAGACTCATTTGTTACTGTGTTGGTGATCCCTGTCATAGGAACACTCATTCGTCGCCACCGTATTCCACTGCCTCCTCCAAATGAAGGCCAGTTCTACAACCTGTTCCATTTCAACATCAACCAACAGATGAAGCTGCACTCTCGCACATTCACTGTGACTGACTGTGACTCTTTCACAAGGAACTTTCTGACAAAACTTGGGGTGCACGTAAATAACCCTACAACTGTACCTGAGGACCCCTACAGCAGCCTACGGGAACAGGTGGGCATCCGAAATACATTTTTTGTTGTTTGTATTTTATTTTAACTCTTTTTTTTTTTTTAACTCTGTCGAAATATATTTTAATCCTCCTTTATTTATTTTTTTTAAAGAAAGTTATAGCGAATAATCTATTTGTTTCACGCTTTCAGCTCAAAAAGAGTATGCAGCCACTTCGGCCATATGAGAGACATGATACGCTGAAGCAGTTCTTGGACCATGACCGCAAAGTCCTGCGCTTCTACTGCTTCTGGGATGACTCACAGAGCATTTATGTTGACTTGCGGGAGCTCATACTGCACTACTTCCTGGTTGATGACACCATAGAGATCCGGGAGGTGATCCCCCCAAATTCTGGCAGAGACAAAGTGAACAAATTTCTTCGTCGCTGCAGACTACCTAAGGTAGGTAAAGCAGCGTGATAAGAGCGCGATAACAGCTGTCGAGAAATGAGAGAGTAAAGAAAAAAAGCACAGGCAGGGTTATACAAAAGGATTAATAAGGGCTTTTTTGAGCTTGAAGTTTTGCTATTTCTTTGTTTTTGTTAACTTTTAAAGATGGTTACTCCTAACCTAAAGGCTTGCAGTGTCCCTCTTTCTGGTTGTGTTGCTTCTTTTCGTCTTCCTGCTTTCATGGAGACCTCATTCACTCTGACAGGACTGCTTTAGCACCCAGTTTCCCTCAAGCATGTAGGCTTTCTCCTCCAGTTACTGACTGACCAAGCTTAATTCATCCTGAAGGACATCCAGGCATCAATCATGTCAATGTATAACTATGTGTTTTCAGTCCAGTAACGTTGTTTGCTCCGATGCCTTTTTATTAAATGTCAGCCTTAAAGGTTGAGCAGACTTTGCCATCCAGTGGGAAATCACCGTGTCCTTAACGACAGATCTCGTTTCCTTCTTCAGTCTTATTTTGTTGATCTGCTTCTCCCTCTCTCTTTCAGTCTTTTATCCGTCTTTTTATTTCTCTTACCAGTTGTGTGCATGCAGAATGGTATTTACTTATAAAGAATAATTTTTGTTTAACAGTTTCTGTATTTTTCCTGTCCGCACTTGTTTCCCTTTTGCAGCATGTTCCAGCCAAAGTCAAGCAGCCTGGAGAGATAACAGACCGCACGGTGCTCAACGTGCTCACCTCCAGTACTATGGGAAACCGCTACATACTGGACAGCCTCAAAGTATGTCCTGTCTCAGCCATGCTCACACTACAAACATGCTAACGGGATGTTATTTGAGAGGTCACTGAGAGGCTAGGCAGTTAGCAAGATTTACATGAATCTCAGAGGTTAAACCTAAAACGAGCTATTAAGACACTCGATTAGAGTTAGAGGATAAAATATGCGTCAAATTACAATCCAGTAATCCAGTCTAGGGGAAGGCAGCTTCCTTTTTCAGTTAATACAATACTGTGCAAACCTCTTGTGTCACTCCTCATTTCCTCCATATTTTGCTAGGAAATTAGGAAATAGAGGCAATTTATTGAAACATGTGTGTACATATGTGGAAATACAATATATAAGGCAAAAACAGAGGATGTACAAGACCTTGAAAGTCAAAGTATGACCACCTTTATACTTCACAGTCTGAACTCTCTTAGGTGGGTTTTCTTCTAATTTCTTTGACTATCCTTTAGGAATAGCTCTCAAAGACTTTCAAAGTTCTTCTTTGGATGTTGGCTGCTTTTTGTTCTGTTCTCTGTGAAGATGATGCCACACTGCTAAAATGATTCTGCTGAGGCCAGTCCATGACTGATAATGTTCCATTGTGTGTTTCTCTATTCAGATATGCTTTTACTGCGTTGGCAGTGTCATGCTGAAAAAGAAGCTGTTGCTAATCAAACACAGATTATGTTTGACCACACTTTTCTGTATTAAATAATAATTCCATCAATTTTCAGTTTTGCCTGTATGCAACCATCAGTCTTATCAGAAATAAAAGGTTTCCTGAGTTTGACCCAAAATAAGGTTTTAAAATGCTTCCACAGAGCGTTAATCTTATTCCACCATTTTTGCTGACATAATTTCTGCTGTGGATTTTAATACAGGATTCTTCGATCACCATGTCCCACTCCCTGTATCCACTCAGCACCAGGCTCTTAATAGATATAACCATCCAATTCATGTGTGTTTAAGTAATTCAATTCAACAAGTAAGATTCTATATAAGTTTTTGTTTTGTTTACTCATGTCATTATCTCTATTCTCACCTGCAGACCGGAGCTGTCCACGAGGAATTCTACAAGGACTGTGATTTAATCATAGGTGGGGAAGTGAATGTGTGGGGCAGGAGAGTAATCCTCGCTGACTGTGATGACTTCACCAAACACTACTACCGCGCCAAATATGGCATCGGTACGGTAAACACTACTGCAGTGCTGTTGATTTCTTT